ACGTTAATTAATATTGTTTGCACTTAACGGTAATACAAGTTTTATACAAATTGTATGATAAGATGTGGTTGGTATTTATTTATAGTTGATACATTAAACACATTACGATGAGGTCTATTTATAAGCTTATGTATAAAAATAATATAAAAAAGTTATATAAAAAAACAAGTCTAATAATCTACAAATACCTGTGGAAATAAATAACGCAAGTTATGTTTTATAAAACCTACAATATTGTTGATGAAAAAACAGCAGGCGATAACTGTCAGCTCTGAAATAAACTCGCGTTTTCAGGCAATTCCTGTGACGCCAAAAGTTCCATCATGTCTCATTTCTGTTATATTTAAAGAAACAGTACGCCAAGTTTTTGTGTTACAGTTTAACATACAGCTCCAGCATATGTATTCATGATTATGACAGTTTGTATTACATTATATGTTTTCAACTTATGTAAATATAATAATATGTACATTATAATAGAAAAATATATATTTAAAATATTTGGTATTATTTTGAATACACAGTTAAGCTTTGTTCTGTACACAATAGCCGGCCAACAGTGAATTGAGAATGGGTTTTCAAGAGAACCGCTTAAGGATTAACTTGACAGCGTAGCATTGCAAGAATAGGTCCAATACTCGCCGTTACTAATAATTCCCAACTCGCCACCTAAAGACAGTTACATAGTTTGTATATCGGACGAACTATTACCATTTCGGAGTTCCAACAGTTTGGTCAAACGGACTAACAACGGAACTGTTCTTCTTACTCGCCATCCGAATCTCAGCTCAGAATAAAATTGTAAACTTCAAAACTTATCAAATTAATTACAGAACCATTGTCACTTTTTGTGCTTTTTGCTTGGACACATAAAACTTTGGTAGACTACATTACCTTTCTACAGTAACAACATATACTTACCAGTATTAAATTAATTTCAATAATAGTAATAACAATCTCAATTTTACCAACGTTATCTAAAATACTTGAGAGACTCGTGCATAATGCTATTTATCCCATAATCCATGACAACATTATTCCTCAGCAGCACGGTTTTGTTGAACGTCGTTCTACTACTACAAACGGAACTGTATCTTGAGACTTTGGACCAAAACAAACAAACAGACAGTGTATATACCATCCATTTGATACAATAGATCTAAATGCTCAGAAAAAAATAAAATTGTAAACTACATCACAAACAGAAACTTATCAAATTAATTACAGAACCTTTTTATTGTTCATAAATGATGTCTTTTTGTTTTGCTTTTGATGACCTTAAAATATATCATGTAATTGACAATGATCATAAAATTTTGGATCTGAATCGTTTCAGCAGTTACTGTAAAACTAACAAGCTAACACTTTCTAACAAAATGTAAAAGTATCACTTTCTCCAGAAACGAAATATAGTTCTCTTACACATTGTGTAATTCTGTCCTCAATAATGTGGAAATAATCAAAGACTTGTATTACTTTAGACACTAGGCTCGTACTTGATACACATATCGATAATATAATTAATAAAGCTTGAGAACCTGTGTTAATTTTAAAAGCCCTTCTACTTACTTATATTTATACAAAAGTCTTATTCGCTCTCAATTAGAATATGCCGTAACTGTTTGGAACCCTTTTTACAATATATATTCGGATAGAATTGAAATGGTACAGAAAAAATATACGCCGATTACAATATAAGTTTTACCATAGCCATCTTTCTTATGACAGACTTTTGAAGAAATTTGATTTTTAAATCTAACATCGCGACGCACACAACTTGAGATTATGTTTTTATATGATATAGTCCACCTCTCTGACAAACCAGATAAGTTAACAGCACAAATGAGAACGTCAAGAAAACAGGAATGTTCGCTATTAACAATGTCGTACAAACTCTGGTACTCGGTCACCAATTAATAGAATTGTTAAAGCATATAATGATAAGTTCTCTAATATAGATATATTTGCTACTAGACCATCATTATTCAAAAAGATGGTTGGTCAGAATTTGTCACATACCCACTTAACTTAATAGATGTTAATTTTTATTCTTAGTAATTCCTTTTCTTTTTTATTTATTATTATTATTTCATTTTACGCTTCCTTTATATTAACAAATAAGTTGCATTTTGAGTCGATATTTGTAACTTTGACTCTAAACAAATTTGCATGATTATATAATTATTGTCTTAAGTAAACTGTGATTAACGTCGTTGGTGATACATTTATCTTTCATCTCATCACATATTGTATGTATATTTAATATTGTATTACTGTTTGTTAGTCCTAAATAAATAAAAAAAAAAAAAAAAATTAAAAAGATGCCTGATATTTTCTTACCAGTACATCAATAAATGTATAATGTTATTTAAAAAGAATATAGCTATGTAATTTTTTTTCTTCCTAATGATATTCACTTCCAGATTAACAGTAATGGAAAGGATGATGGAAGAAGTAATACCACGGACTGGAGTTCGAGAACTGTGTGAAGAAAAGATGGGAGATCATCTACTCTAGGCAGATGATGTCACTATCACTGTGGGCTGAACCTGGATACTGGAATATTTATAAAAAAGTATATACGCAATTATTTTGAACCTGATCTGGAAGTAGAATGACGATAATTTGCACGTAAAAATATTTTGACTTAATTTTGAAATACATTTTCATTATACTCTAAATAATGTTCACAACAAACTTACGTAATAGAATAATACAATATTTACATATAACATAAACTCCCAACCGCTAGAGATCTCAGATGGTATTATAATACGGTAGCCGCAATAAATTTATAGACATATCTGTCTATGGTCACAACCAACAATCTAGCATTATGTGCCTTACATTGGGTAAATTTAGAGCCCAATATCGCAAAGTAGGAGTTGCAATATCGTTACATCAATGTTTCAAAGAGTCTTACACACGAATTGGCAGAGCAAGCGCTAGCATTCAGTGAGGGAAATAGAGAACAAATTCAATAAGGTGAGGTGGTGTAAATCTCAATTGTAGCGAGCCTTCATCAAGATACCGTGGAAATGGGGATTTAGCAAACAGTGTAAATAAGGTGTGAATTTGTTGAGAATCAGGAAGTTTTCCATTTTATTACTTGCAATCATTACAGTTCCTAGACTAAATGTTTGTATAAAGTATATCGTATTATGATGAGACTTAGAATGAAATAAACTACATTCAAATAAAAGTTAGCATTATTAAATGCCGCTTACTTGTATTATATATTTTGGAAGACTTAAACTATTGAAAATTTTAAAAGTAACAATAGTCTAAAAATCATTGTTTTTAGCCCTCGGATCAATATGAAAGGAGTGTTGTAAGTTTGACGTGACGGTTGCATTGTAACTCCTTAACGAATGTGTATGTATAAAACAGTTTTTAGCTACAATTCATGAACATCTGTGCAGGCGTTTCATAATGTTATTTGTAGTGCTTCGATTAATATTTTTTCTCTTGTTTATTATTTTCTATAATTTATTAATAAAATTAAATCATTGTTTTGTTTTATTTGTAACTGCAAAGTTACCAATTAAAGTTTACTGTACAATTGTATAACAACTAGCCTGACTGATTGCCATGATATTAATTTTTTTCCACGAGGTAACAATTGAGTAACAACTTATTATGTGACTGTCGTAACAACGAGATGATGACCGGTTTGCATGAGAACTGGCGTGGACTTGTTTATCCATAACTAGGTTGACGTGACTGGCATATGACCTGAAGGCCAGTGTTATAGCTAGTGTCACATTGGGATCCAAGTACAATTACTTTAACAGACCTCTCAAATTTTCCAATTTGAATGTAGCGGTAAACAGACTAACGGCCCGCCTGATGGTAAGCGATAACCGTCTATACCCATAAAGAGCTAGAAATGAGACAGAATGGACATCACAGTATCATGTACACCATTCATGCGTTGCCATTCCTAAAGACTAGGACGTCATGCCCATTATCCTGTAAATAATAAAAGTAAGTAATGAACATTTTTGTTTTTTTAGAAATACTTGTTATTATAATTTATATTTCTATAGTACTTTTTCCATGTTTTTTATTATTTAAAATAATATGTATTATAAAAATATAGTATTTGTTTATAACATATTAAACTGCGTAGACTAATATTTAACGAAATGGTTGTGTACGCCAAACCATCTCCTTCAGTCCAACAAATGACTACTACTACTAGAAATAAATCTATACTAGTACTTCTAGTAAATTGTTTATTATGTACTGGTTTTTATCCGCAACTTGGTCCGCATAATCAATGAATACGATTACCTACGTATATATGATGTTATTTTCGGGTTTTATTTCAAAATGTTTTCTTATTACTCTGAAATCTACAAAGAGAAAGCAAATGGAAAAGATTATATATTTCCTATTGAAAGCGGTTAGGACTGGTAACTTTCTAAGGATTTTAGCTTATTGACTACCCCGTTTCTCTAAACCTTACTCCAATAGTAATGTAATTGAATTGAAGAGTACCCAATCCTGATTACTATTTGTATTATTATTATTGGTATGACCTGTATACTATTTTTAATTATATATAATGAATGTCTAGTTTCACACATTGCTTTACTTCCTATACGCGGATTCAATTCTCGCACGATACGAACATTTCTCGTTCACGTATGACTGTTAGTGTTAAACATTTCTACGTATATATCTATAAAAAATAATGACACTGGTTGTTTAGTACCCCTTATACTAGGGGTACCGTCCTATTTACGCTTTCCGTCCTATTTACGGTATTTCAAATATTATATCTGACCATACCATGTTATCTGAGAGGCATCATAAATACATATACAGAGACAAGTCAAATCGGAAATTATTAAAGTACATTGTACAATATCAGCAAAACATGAATGGATATGTACCTATAATTGTATTTTAATTGGACTGCTATCAATTCAAAAAAATCAACAGAAACGCCACGCACAAACAGAAACAATCAGTTTTAAACCTGACCTATAGTGGATCGCACGCGCAGTATAATTTTGCTATCGCATTTTTTAATAGATATCAGTGAAGTGAAATCTACTTACAGGTACAGCTGTATTAAATAATTATCTACAAAAACAACAAATTAGTAAACAACACGAAGGTTAGTAATCAATATTTTAAATTTTGTCTGTAAACATTTTAACAGATAGGCAATTAATGTATTCAAGAAAAACAACAACTACTATCATATCTTCTAAATAGATTATTATAGCACTTTATTCTACATGTTGTTTTGTCGATAATTAAAGAGCACAGTTCAAATAAAACAAATTGTAACCAAACTCTGCTTTAGTTTTTATTTCATAATAAATAAATGAATCGTTTTTATTATTATACATTTATTTTAAACGTTATGTAGTTGGTCAGAAGGTAATTTAACATTCCTTGAAAATGTGTTTGTAACCAGTGGTTTCAGACTGGTGGGTACGTCGTGACCATATTGATAAATATATCATATAAAAATAAAAGTAGTTGACTCGTGATGTGAGTATGTATGATTGTTTGTTACTCTTTCACGCAAAAACTACTGAACAGTTTGTATATGAAACTTTACAGTAATATAGCTTATACATCTGAATAACATATAGGCTATAATTTTAAAAGCTATTTGTAAATTGGGTAAAATATAATGATAAATGTCATGTAAGTGTAATGTAGACGAAGTTGTGCGGGTCAGTTAGTAATTACATAAATGTAATGACTAGAACATACATTGCAGTTTTACTGAAATTTATTTTCATACTGTAGTCAAACATCGTAAGGTCATATTGTTAATTATTCACTGCTACTAGTACCATATTATAGACACTGGCAATCGGCATTGATGCCGGTGTCATAAGATATTATAATAATGCGATACTGTTAGTCAATGATAGTAGTATCATTGAATAACTAACAAATATGTAGTAAAATATTTCAAAAAGCAAAACAAAACCTTAATTGTATATTTTTATTAGAGGTTTTGGGCTATTGTCAGGTGCTAGGATCGTAACACGACTGAACACTGAGATCTATTGTGCTCGCCCTTTTTCAAAGTTCGCTACACAGACCAAGGGACAAGAATTAAAGAATATTCATAAGAGCGATCGTTCTTATCTCCTCAGGATAGAGTGTATACTCTCCAAAGCAGATATTTCGTTTATGCATGAGTGGGCTATAACCATATTAGATATTAGTGGCATTTCCTCTTCTGTTTGGCAAAATCTACAGATTGCAGTTTAGAATAATACAAATTAGTAACGAATAAGTGTAATAATTCATAAATTGTAAGTATATTACAAAATGGTCGACCTACAATCTGAACTATTCTCCTGTCTGATCACGGCATATGTATATACAAACAAAACTTTTCTCCATTGAATAGATAGAGTACTATCCGCACAAACTTTGTTCATTTAGATCTTGTTCCCATTTCTCGGGCCTATCAGTATTTTTTTTCCTATAGACATGAATAACACCTTTGACACCACAGAACAATGAAGTGTGGCATTGTGTAGTGTTCGGGGGCATCTTTCGTACATTGTTCCTTGAGTAGAAGAATATGATTAGTATTATGTATATGCATATAATAAATACATATTGTTAATAGTTTTACTTTGACATTTATTACGTATATTTATAAAGTGTTTACTACTTCTCATATAATTGTTAAATTTACCCGACCACCCAATTTTATTTTTATAATTTTAAGGGTGACATTTATGTAGTTACTATTATTGGAATTTATGGTTACTATTGTTAAGTATAGTAATTAACATTAAAATGTGTATAAAATTATGATGTCTATTAATGGATATTGTAAGAATTAGAAATGTATAATACGTACTATAAAGTAATGATTAAACACTTTAATTGCAATTACAACTACATAAATACATATACTTTATAAAAATCACACAAACAATTTAACTCATGAATACATAATATGTACAACCAACAACCAACCGAAGGTGAGAGAGTGTATCAAATCCCTGGCACACTCAGGTTGTTGACTTATTAATCTGTAATCACATTATACTCAGGCCGAACGGGTCGTGCTGACGATGCCGTTTGATTGGCGCACTTGTGACTAGGGCATGGCATAGTAACTAATTCGCCAATCAAATGTCGACGTCGGGACAAGCCGACCCAATCTTATCGTACTCAGACTCATTATAATACTATTTTATTATCAACATTGTAATTAGTCCTCATTGATCTAACAAACATAAATAACAAGACTTACGTCATAGAAAATACGAAATAAATTCTTTAATTACTAGTAATTTGATATACTACTATAATATTAATAATAACTAGTTTTTATTAACGTAACCACATTACTTATTAATGTATACTGATAATGACCCAGATGCAATCATATGGAAATTAAAACATGTTGAACAAGAGACACAGCTATCAGGAATTTACATTTTTGTCAATTAATTTTATCATCCGATATAACTTGATTCTTCACTTTCGATACATATTACATAATTTCGAAAATTTTATATACACAACTATAAAACAAAAATTAATAGAGCAACCTAGAAAATAGAACAACCAAATATTAGTAAGATACCATTAAATCATAAGAAAGTAGATTTATATATTTTCATACTTTGTTACAATTTTATATATAACCGACCTTTAGCGACTTTATTCTAGCTACACAATATTCTACACACTTTATAAACACGAAAACCTGTTTGGATGGTCGGCATAGATGTTTGTATTTCTTTCACATTTTTTTTTGTTGTGGGTTTGCTGAAATTCTTAGCTAATTATACTTACCTTAGTAATTTAAATTTTATATCCACAACAAACTGACAGGCGACAGAAAGATTGGCAGTACGTGGCATAACCTTTAAATATGAATATTTTATTGAATAAATTTACTTCTCCTAGGTATTAGGAGAACTTATCTCGGTGTCTTGTTTATTGTTTTTTTTTTTAATGTACGTACGTACTACGTAGTATTATCTATCTTAAAACTTTAATAATTAACGGGTATTATTTTAACACCATACACTATGTACCGGTGATAACTGAAACAAACTTAGTGAGCTGCATTTACATATTTTAAAGTTTTGTTTCACGTACGTACCTACCAAACCCATTTGCTAAGGCAAAATTTTATGAACGGTCATCATCGTCACTAATATAAATTTAGATCTTTAGCTGTCCACTTTATTTCTAGTCTATAAATAATATAATTTCGCTTTCCTTTGTCTCAACTCTTTTGTCTGACAACAAACTGACACCAAAGAAGAAGAATCCTTTTAACTAATCTTTTTGGTTAAATGTCATAAATATTAAATAATTTTTGTATTAGTATATCCTTTTTTTTTCAGATACAATGACTATAGACTCAGATAGACGTCAAACTAGTTTTCCTCAGCTAAAATACCCGCCATTAAGAGATGACATACCAAAAATATCACAACGATGGTTAGTAGGCAAACAAATGCACGATGGCGCAGAAAATCTGTGGAGAATTTACGACGATCTTTATGATTTCACTGACTTTATTGATAAACATCCTGGCGGATCACAATGGATATCACACACAAAGGCAATAATTAAGATTAAATTACATATGTTTTACTTAAAAGCATAGATGCCTAGTGGTTTATATTATATTGTATGCCTACTCAGACACTAGGTCAGTTCGAATCTATCAGTTACTTAAAAGCAATTACATAATTTGTAATTTTTTGATTCTCCGAAGATGGATATAATGATATTAACCCAAAATTAATCGGCGTCACGGTGATACGTTTACCTCCACTTCAATCTCATGCCTTATCGAGTATCAAGGAAAAATACAAGAAATTGAAAAAACTTACATCTTAGTAAATTTGCAAACATAACCATAATTATTTCTGAACTCAGGACGGTATAGAAGGTTAACAAAAGGCAAAAATTTGGTTCGTTTTCTACAAACAAACATCCCGATAGCAAGGTCACCTTCCGAGTCCAAGAACCCATTAAAATAAACTTATAAATATTTATATCATTTTAAGAATTTTATAATTATTACATTCAAAACCTATGTCTATTTATTTGCCTCGTACTATATCCCAGGAATTAATATGAGAGTCGAAACGTTCTTGATGACAAAATAGAGAGAAATAATTTAAAACTTTTAAAATAAAAATCCCATTTAATAACATGCGAACACAAACTAATAATTCCGTATAGATTATCCTCTACAATTACATTGTGGGAAGGAATTTAATAACACTATTAAATCTATCTAATCTTGTTTTGATTAGTGGATTTGATAGGAGATTTAGATTAATTAAAGACTGGCAATATAATAGGTAAATAAGGTTATTTCTATTTATTAGGTATAGGTATACCTATAACATTATCAATAAAGAATTATAGAATGTTTGAAAGGAGATTATGAATAGTCTTGTCCGTAATATGCCATACTTATATAGGTAATGGAAGTTTCCTATATCTAAAGTACCAGTTTTTAACATCAAACAATAAACAACGTTAAAAACAGTAACTCAAAAAAGTGATGATATAATTATTATTATATCTAAGTTTAGATTTATTTTTTGTAACTTGACGTTTTATTTTGTTTGATAAGTTATTACTACTACGATCACACTAATATCTATGTGTATGATTTTGACATTTTATTTATTATATTTATAATTTTAAACAATTGAAAAATATTTGGTATATTCTTATTTATTGAATTGATGTTAAATTTGGCGTCATATTTATTGTAACAATTACTAAAAGAAACCAACAATTAGTTGTAGCTGCGGTTTTACTCATGTTATCGATACATCTTAATAGAATTATGTATACCCGTAAATAGCCTTTCTTTCGATTGAAAATTTGAATATTATAAAAAGGTAAATGTATGTAACGATATAAATACATCAATAATTTGTAGCCTTCAAGTGTAAAAAATTTAGAAAATCCTAAGAAACCATTTGCAAGTGAAGTATTAATTATTCTGTAATCTTTCTTAATATACCATATCCAATAAAGAAAGAGAGATCAACATCGAAGTACTGTAAAAAATTACGCCTGTTTATCGACCGCAACGGCTATTTTTTTTAGATGCATAGTTGATGATAATACATGAGAGAGAGTACGATGTACCTATTATGATAGTAGACTACATATTCTGCATTAATCACGTAGTTATTTCGTAAAATAGGACATTTTTATGAGTGGATATAACAATACATAGATGGATCGTTTGATTGATAATAGCCAATCACACAAGATCACACTTTTAAAAATAGTTAATACGTAATTCCACTTAATAATAATTTGTATACTATATATAATTCATTATACCTTCAATCCACCTCAATTACCTTGACCTTCGCTACTCACTGTACTTTACTTTCTTATTGATGCAATCTTAATTTCTAGTGGACACAAATAACGCGGATAACCTTCAAGTAATGTAGAACGAACATTCATTTTACCATTTTTATTTACGTTATATTGCATCACATTGGTATATTGTGAAGTAGGCATATTCAACTTTAAATCGCAGATTGGAAATTTTTTTCATTGTACAAAAGTAGTCTAGCATATTTGTTTTTGTAACATAAAGGAATTATGATATAATAGATAATTATGATAATACCTGCCATATATCACTTAAATCAGTAGTAGATAAACATAAACGTAATAAACTTTATATACACATATTTATGAAAACTAGTGGTCACCTAGTTGTCGAAATTTGCACCCGCAATAACAAAACAAAAGAGTATATATGCGTACACATGCACACACGTGTGTCAAATACACCATGTATTTGACACATGTGTAACAGTTGATGAACATAAATTAAATGTAATCGTTTTTGATACATTACTAAAAAAAATTTAACTGTAAGTGTATTTCCTACTCCTTCGTCCGCACAATTTTCGTAAAATGGGGTACAAAGTTTTTGTTTCTCGTATTATTTATGAAAATTACAAAATGTCCAAAGAATAGAGAATATCAATGAAATTTATCATGGGTATCTCATACATATATGACACTCGATACCAAAATACCCTTGTTCGTGTCATGTTTACATAATGTAAGTATGTTATGTATGTTAGTATATCATATAATCCAGGTAATAACTAACTATGCAGTATTACTGTTATATAATTTGCGGTCAAGCCTAGCCTATATATAGTAGGTACAATTAAAGATACCGTCGATATAGTAAATTTCTAGTTTCTATTTGAATATTTATAAATTCTATTCTAACATAACAATAACTAATGACTTATAAGTACTTTTTGATAATTATCATGACCTCTTCAAAATATATGTACATATTTATTATATCCAAACGCGTAAAACTGTAGCAATACTGCATAGTATCAATCAAATATTATTATTACACTTTGCTTTTAGTTTCATATATGTTTACTTTTTTTTTTATTCATGTAGGTCTATTACAGACTCTTATGATATATCAAATGTACCGTCAGTTCGGAGTGATTTTATTATAGAGATTAAATTTCTTTAATAGTTCTACTTTTATAAAGTTACGTCCTTAAATATTTTAATCTTTTGTTAAGTAACTACGCAAATGGTATATAAGCAATTATAAACATAAAAGTATGTGGTTTGATCTCTCAGTTTAACTTCTGACGTAAATCATCGAAATTAGCATTTTTATGATTACGGTTAACAACATGCAGTAGTTGTAGGTAATTTTTTTCCTTGTGTAGTTTGTATAGAAAAATCAAGAATACCTTTAAGATAAACAATTGGGTTATAATACTCTATTTTTTATTAGAAACTAGTAACATACTCAGCCTTCTCAACGGTACCATTACGAATTACACATTTGAACCTCCCTCAGAAATCACTTTGTTGCTATGCGACAATCGCATGAAAATGTCCAGCAGTTTTTGAGATTATCACGAATAGACGCGGCGGAGAACTTTAATATTATGAGGATAATATATATTTTTTTGTTTAATTTTTAGGGCACAGATATTACAGAACAATTTGAAACGCATCACCTAAAAGGGGTAGCAGAGAAAATGCTCCAAAAATATTTTATAAAGAAAGCAACAACACCAAGGAACTCTCCGTTTATATTTGAAGAAAACGGATTTTACAAGACTCTCAAAGCAAAAGTTATGGAAAAAATTAAGGATATACCAAAGAATACAAGGAAACAAAGTGATATTGTGACCGACTTATTACTTGCAGCGTGTATAACTCTAAGTCCATTGAGCTGCTGGGCATGGACACAAAGTTACTTGTTGGGTACGGCGTTGACAATACTCAACGGTTTTACATTAAGCAGTGTCATTACTTGTGCTCATAACTATTTTCATCGAGCTGATAGTTGGCGTATGTACTTGTTCAACATGGGCGGACCGTCATACAAGTATGTATTATAATGTGATACTGTGTATTATTTATAAATTATAGCTTCACTACCGTAATCCCAGATAATCAGAGACATTATCAACTGCCGACGTAGTGGTGGGTGTAACACTTGACGTGTCTGTTAGAATCTAACATAACAAAGAGCGTGTCTACCGCTATCTCCTAATATTATGATTTTGGTGTCAACCATCACATTTTTTATTTAAATTAAATAGATTGTGTTAATACTTGTTAAATTTGATTCAGGTCTTTTGTTTTCCTCTTGTCCTATCATTGACTAGTACAGGATAATTTCGACGTTATGTTTGCAATTTGTACTTTACTTCTATATTGGAAAGTTAGATAAATAAAATATATATGGGTATTATAATTTCTAAGAATAATAATACAATGATACTCAAAGTTTATTCTTATATACCTTCCATAAAGCCTACCACTAGGCCAGGGCTATATACACTGATCATGTCAGTCTAATCTACCAAATATTAAGTATTTTTCATTGTCAAAACATTGGTTTAGGAAAATTGAGTATAACAATGAATTTACAATCTACAGCTACCCCTCTACCTACACAGGTTGTAGGAATCGCGTGAGAATTGTGCAATTATATTCGAGTTTTTCCCCGTATTTGTTTATGAAATGAGTGTCCTCATTCGTTTATAGCAAGGATTTTACTATAATTACAGCACGATTTTGTTATAAATGCATGGGAAGCTAAGGTAACTTAGCATAAGCAATCAAAATATTCTAAACCTAATAAATATAAGTATATATATACGTGTCTACAACAATGTACCACCAAACAGCTCGATTTATTTTTGGCATAAGAAATAATTCAACGTTATAAGATTTAACAGCACGCGTATCCACTTTTTTCCTTTATTGCTTAGACTCAAACGTTAGGGTAACAGTTAGAGTTCCAGAATGGCAACGAGTAAGTAACGGTCGTCACATGATGAAGTCATGTCCTTGGTGTTGTTTGTATATATAGACGACAACTACCACTTACCATCGAATATGGTCTACTTGTTTGTCATCTCAATAATAAAATAATTTGTATGTGTATTGATGTATTTATATAGAGCCACTCAATACCTATGCCATTGGTTTAGGTTGACTGCAAGAGATCTCTTCTAGGGATAAGTCCACCTTTGCTCACATTGTCTCTAAATTGTAGTATCAATGTATTATCTGTGCAGTAAAGAATATTTTTTCATCTTCAGAGAATGGCGTATCTCTCATGCAATGTCACACCATATGCATACAAATACACTTCAAGATATAGAACTAACACTACTGGAACCGTTTCTTACATTTATGCCATACGAAGATAAATCGTTCTGGAATCAATTAGGAGCATTTTACTGGCCAGCCATATATCCATTTTCGCAAATTGCGTTGATGATCACAGAGTGAGTATAAATTGATTTCATTTTATACATATAATTTTAATTTTTCACTATGTTTTTAATTTTTTTTTTGTAGTAAATACCAAAATAATTTTTATTTAAAAAAAACTCGTAGTAGATAGTTATTTTATTCATTAATCCCCTTATAATTCTATTATGGACTGTTTGTAATAATCTTGGTCTGATAAATGGCAGTAAGCGTGCTAATCACAACGAATCAGAATCCATCAGACCCGGAAAAAGCTAGGACATCAGACCCATTACTCTTACCCAGATAAACGGGGCGTCATTTGATTTTTTGGCAGGAACACTACGTTTTTTGAGGATAAAAATGTGTTTGTGTTGTTCTCATATATTATTCCAGCTTATGTCTATTTCCGTAGATAAACAGATAAATAGAAAAGGGACACCGTCACGATTGAACAGGCTATATCTAATTCTTAAGGATGAAAAATGGTTTAGATTTCCTATTACATATTATATTCATATACAGGCGACTACAATATTAAATCTTATTAATTTATTTAATTCAGTTTACATGGTCCATATTATAAATACCTTAAAAACTGACATACATATGAATAAAATTATAGACTAACAAAAAATAATTTATAAATATAAATTGTCTTTATCATCATAGTACTAATGACAGCAATCTTTTATGGTAGCGCTGATATCCCACTCTCTTCGGCCAGTAGTCCTCCTTTATATAGGTGGTCAGCATATTGGCCACAACTTTCTAAGTTTTCCTTAAATGCCCATAATTTTCAAACAGCATGGGATAGATTTTTTTTTCAGATGTTTCTCATGATGGTTATAATCAATCCTATCACCCCGTTTGGGCTTGACGTTGAATTCTGGGGCAGTCTGTATAATAATATTTAATGTTGTAGTCGCCATGGTCATAGGATCCGTTATAACGGGAATTTGAACATTTCTCTACTACTACGTATGTGAAGAAACTTTGTACGCCAGATTTAATATTAATTATATTTAACTATAGCATTGCTAATGACAAATACGTTTCTGTAGGTATTTCATATTAGCATAATTAGGGAAAAAGTATTTATTTTATTTTATTTATTCATTTATTTCGGGCAACTAGGCCCATATTATAAATACCTTATAAACTAACATACATATAATATAATATTTAAAAACTAATACAATGATATTGTCTGTGTGATCACGGCACTGAAGACGGCAATCTGCCACGATAGCGCCGATACACCACACCTTTCGGCCAGTAGTCCTCTTTCATGAAGGTGGGCAGCAAGTCGGTGGGGACCAGGGCCACAAACGCTTTGAAACTCGCGTTGTGACTCGACTTCAGCTGCGTTATCCTCAATGTCAGGTTACTCTTGGTACGAATCTAATCGACAATGTCCTGCTCCTTAGTGGCGTATTATAATATATACTGACAGAAAGCTGTATTCGTAGACTATTTTTTGTGAATACTGTTTCTAACTAATATGACATTTATTTTCATAGGTATAAATGAATTATTAATAACTAGCTACCAGCTACACACTAAGCTAACACGGTTTCGCACGGGTGTACATGTATTATATGTACAATTAAATATTCCTCTTAGATCAATGTATTGGTAAAAATGAATTAAAATCCGTTCAATAGTTAAAGCGATTTTATTTTATATTATGTAAAGATGAACAAAACATCCATATCTATTTCAGATTTGTGACATCTTTAAGAGAACTTGAAGGTAAACATATAGATTGGGCGCATATTATACCATTGATGCTACCAACATGGATGTGGTTAGCATCCGGAGCACCCTTTACATCAGTGTTACCCATCTGGGTTGCTACATTAATGATTAGTAGCTTTTACTTCACAGTATATGGTTTAACAGCTGGACATCATGCACACACTAACTTCTTTGATGGAGATATACCCAGGTAAACTTACTATTATTTTTATAATATATTAATACGAACCACATAGACCACAGATAATATAAGATTACAGTATGACATAATAAAATATTCGTAGTAACAACTTATTATTTTCTGATTTATGTTCAAAAATTACAGTAACAATTCCATATTATGTAATCTATATTATATATTTGTTAACTGGCTATGCTCTAATTTAATGTGCACATTTCTAGGCTCGTAAATAAACGCTGTATTGTGCATATAGAAAAAATACAATAAGAAAACAATAAATAGCAAATTAGTAACAAAAGGCGGTCTTATCAGTATAAGCAATTTCTTACAGCCTTCTATCGATCGACGACAACTAAATAAAGCTATTATATGATGCCTAAATACCTATTCGGTAAAAAATCATTAAAAGTCTTTAACCGTTTTAAGCTAAATACATGAACATACAAACAAACTGTTTTCCCCACATTAAGATAGCACCATATGTAACTATATACATGTTATATAAGATTTTACTTATTTTAATTCGAATATTTACACAAATTACTCTTCTAACCCTTAGAAATTTTACCGAGTTAATGGCACCTCAGAGTACCACGTACATTATAAACTTTGAATTAAATTCATCTCAAAGTTCCAATTTAAACTCTGCTAATGTATGGGTACTGAACGTATGATAAGTACGTTTTCTTGTATTCCTGAAAGCTAGGCTGTAAAACTACGCTGGTGAATGCCAAATGTGTTTGAAGAAACTTATACCATAAGTTTTGCTATTCCAAAACTTTAGAAGTTCAAGAAGCTGTTGGCTTCGTAAATAAGAAATCAAAATGTAAATAGAGTTATACTTAATATTTGAATACCGTATAGTATCTGCTTTTTACACAATTCAAATTTACCGATTTACAAAAAAAAAAATTTTAAATTAATTATATATAAGTTGATTTAATATATAAGTTAATATTATATAAGTTAATATTACAAATGTAAAAGTGTGTAAACATTCAAGATTTTCTTTTCTTGTCCTAGTGTTTTATTCATACAATTGATTTTGGGAATGTAAAGGGTTTTCTGAACTTGTGCATTCTTTCTCCTACACATAGGCATCAACACTATTATAATAAAAGAACATAAAAATGACTTTAAAAAATATCTGTAAAAAATTTATTTGTATACCATAACTAAATTATTATTAAATACTCGGTATATTAAATTTGTGTCTGTTTATTATAGTTATTATTGAAGTTTGTACACATTCATTAACTTTATCTTTAATCAAATTTTTCTATTTTTTCAGATCAAAAACTCTAGATTGGGGAATTCATCAATTAGACACTGTTATTGATAATGATGATCATAAAAGTCATTTTACATCACTCACTCGATTCGGAAATCATGCTCTTCACCATTTGTTTCCAACATTGGACCACGCCGAACTTATATACCTCTATCCCACGTTATTTGAACATTGCGAAAAATTCAAATTGGAACTACGCAAAAATTCATTTTATGAGGCACTAATAAGTCACTCTAAACAATTATGGAGAAAACAACCGAACAATATGAAAATTAGAATTACGGATGCAAACAGCAACACGGTGTCTGTTAAATAGTACACGATATCTGTTTTAAATATAACAATATATATAATCTATTTACTACAGATTTCTGTAATACCTCATTTTATTTAGTGACAAAAATTTCATTAATGATGTAGGTATAAAGGGAAATATGTATAATTAGATATTTATATAACTAGTCAAAAATGTTTTAATTTATTAAGATTCTACAGCAGTAATAGAAAATATATATGTACACTTTGTCTAACTGAATGATAAAATCTGTTTATAACCATTTAGCTACTGATTAACATGCTTACCACATCTGACAGTCCATCAGTGCTATGTTTATAGCATCTTAACTGAGCTCATTTAATTTAAACAGCTCATTTGGCAGTTCATTTTCTTGGTATTTCTATATTGCGAGTACACCATTTCAACAAATATATTCGTAAAGTGTAAAAATCCAAATCTTGGGACCAACCTTATGGAAGGCTGTGGCAAAATAATGTATTACATTATTATTTCTATTCTGTATTGACCAATAATATTGTGATAATATATATATACCTAGTAATAGATCGCTTAAGAATATCTTTAGTTATTTAAAAATTGATATGCCTTTCTGTTTATAAAACAAGCTGCTTGACGGGTGAAATAGACAAGACAACGTTACCCACTCGACTTTGTACTAAGTTTGCCTCGATAATATTTTTCTCGTGACTGACTCGTTTACTATAATTATATTATTACTAGCTGGCCTGGGAAACGTTTTTTTGACATACAAATTATTTCTGAATAGGGCCACCTTTTTCATCTAGAAGTACAAAAATAGATTAAGGACAATTCTCATACCTGACACATATAATGTCAGGTCTGAGAATTGTCCTTAATCTATTTTTGTACTCCTAGATGAAAAAGGATGAAATTTGTTTGTTTGTATCTACCTTAGCCACAATTTATATATTAATTGATGAAACTGATACGGGGTAGTAACAATAAGTCTCATTATAACAATAAGTCCATATTTGTATACACAACTACAAATATGGAACCTATATAACAGTGTCAAAATGAAACAAAAACAATTCGAATGTTCTAGAACAGGACTTTGTACATGAACTATTTGAGATGCATGTAAATGGATAAATCCTATTTAAGAACAGTTCCTCTAAGTTATATAGTTGAGTACTCGGCACAGGCCAAATAGTTAACAAAGTTCAATTTAACTACTGCATACATTTCATTCCTCGCTGGTCGCTAGCCGACCCAAAGCCTTTGAAAACGATTGCATGTGGATAACCACAATATGCGGTTTGTTCTAGACTCTCTGATAATGTGATAATGTTCGCATAAGGTGTTTCATTTAATAAATAGATAACTAGTTGATAAGGAGAAACAGAAATGTAACTAGTTAGTTTACTGAAAGTTCCTTTAGTTGAAGGGTTTATAGAGAATTATAACTTATCTTATCCCGATGTCAAAACGATATAAGGGATTTTTCCTTGTTTATATTATATTATTGTATTGTTGTTTTAAAATAACTCAATGGTATTGAGATAATCAAGGTCTACTAAAATTTTATATCAAGGTCTACTAAAAACTATATTAATTGTGATATAATTGTAGATGAAAAACCTATTTTTTATGAACAATGTATGTAAGTTGTATCAGTATGAAAAAAAAATTATGATATACTATCTTTTTTTTAAATTATATCTTCTTATACGTTTTCTTTTTTTTAATTCATGCCCCCAGGGCAACAGTTTCATGTGTTTATTAATGATGAAATAAAAATAGGTAGATAAGAATATAAGTCATTGGAATATAGGTACCATTAGATTTAAGATAAAAATAATATACCCACATATTTTGTCAAAGGAAAATAGTACGGGGTAATATAAAATGTATATATATTTACTTAGGTTTTATATTACATAATATTTTTAATATATATTTCTAGCAGATTTATAAAAACGAGTATAAGAAGATATTTATTAACTTGATTAATTATTAATTTATTTTTAAATAATGTTACCGAACTGTTGATTATTCAATAAAAATAATTTGTTTAAAACTTTAGGTGGTTAAATAAAAAATAATTAATTAATTATTTGATTATTATATTATTTTATAATAGTATCTATGGAACTATTTATTTAGATTTTGTTATAGTAAATTCGATGTAAATTCCTATTAATATTATAAATGCAAAATAGAATTTGTTTGTTTTTATCTCTTACAATAATAATACTTTAATGATTCAACTGGTTATCCTAATATATATATTCCAATAACGCGTTCGAAGCCTGAAGGAAAACTAGGTATATTTAATATTTATTTTAACCAATAATACTTAAACCTACTTGTGTTGTTTTTAAATGTGTATTTCTTTGATAATTATTATCTAATTAGGCAAATAAAGGAAGAAAACAAAGAAAATGATCTTATAACTTATTGTATTTGACGTGAAAATTTTTAGGAGAACAACGTTACCGGTATCTTAGTCTGTATAATTGCGTCCTTTCCTGCGCCATCCTAAATGAATGTTTTTGATATTTACCCTTACACAAAGGTAAGCCGTGGAATACGGAAGCTGCTGTAAAATCGCATTATAAATGCGGTTTAAAATATTATTACATTGAAATGGAGAGGTCCACGGTAATCTCGGTTTCACTGATGTCGTCAGTACACAATCTGCCCTTTGTGTAACATATGGGATACCGCAAAGATGGCGGATCTATCCTGCTGCTTAATCGAAATTCCTTCAAAGACCATGAATAATTTATTATTAATTGAAATAAAAAAGACTATTACAATAAAGTATAATTTAATGATTCTCGTTGTTTTAAATACAACATATACAGAAGTAATATTCATATTAAGGCCCTAGACAGCCAATATTAAGAAATGTATATATTTCTATACTGGGCCTTATATCCATAGTATGCCCAATTCATTCGAATACTAATGTTTAAAATATATTCAGTTGACAAGATGTCATCAAGATAAACACAAAATACATTTAATTTAAAATGTCCTCATTTTAGAACTTGGTTAGAAATTGTTCCTTGATTAATGGAGTACAATACAAAAACATTTTTCAAAGTTATATAATATTAAGATAAAATTAGTATGAGAAGTATATTCTATATTCTATTATGTGAAAATACTATATGAATATTAACTGATGTGCTATATTCCTGTGTATACCTGGGGTTGGTGCAGCCAACGATGGTGGTAATTTTATAGGATAGTATATTATAAAAATATGATACAAGGAATAAATTATACGATATAAAATATAAAGATGTATTACTGTAAACTTTCATCAAAATCCATTGAGTTGTTTTTGCGTGAAAGAATAATAAATAGCCATCACAAACTCACAAATTTTTACGTTTATAATATTAATAATAATAAGACAAGTGAATAGTTATATTCTTTTCACGCATTGGATGTAACTAGCAATCTACGTAGTTAGAAATATATATATAGTTGGAACAGTATCTACCCCTGATTGGACCTAGACCTGTATGATACGCAGACAACGCTCCGGGGAAATCTATGCGCCCTTTGTATATAGCACGTTCATCTATTTCATATAACGGATATCATAACAGTTCGGTTCCAGTATATTAGTACCTCACTAGTACTTCTATAAATATTACTGTTCATAGACAAAGACTTAACATATGACTGTTTTACAATGATACCTTAATAGAACTCATATAATTTGACCATGCCATGTTTTTATAGATGATGATGGGGTGGTGCTTCTGCATGCGCTAATAATTGTTGGTATTATTAGTATTGGGGTATTGGTGAAAAATATAAGTATAAATAACTTAATTTTATAACAAAATATTAAAAACCTTAAAAAATATAATATAATAACTAAAATGTATTATTAAAAGGAGTCCCTATAAGCAAGGTTCTGAAAATACCGGCAGCGTTCCTTCTTTGAATTGCTAAACTAATTCTTTGTCCGAGGTAGCTGCCAGCTCTTCGGTCTTCTGTGATGACGATTTTTGTTACCTAACCAAGTATAACTGTAAATGTATGAGGAAGGATGTATGAGGATGAAGTCTCAACCTCACCGTCTTGAGAAGAGTTAACCACAATGTATGAAGAGAGGCCGCGTGGAGGTTAAACTGACAATAATATGGTTTCTCGATCTATCAATAAGTATTCACCTGTTACTAATAATTTTATCCTTCACTGACGATGCTAGATAATAAAAAAGAAATTATAATATATTACGTACAGGTCCTATAACAAAATAATAATATTTCACTTGGCCCATACTCCATTTAATAGTAATAGATCAATCAAGTGCATAACTTACAGAAACTTCCTGTAATCCAGTAGGTGGCTTTAATTATACGTTACAAATATCAGGCCAGTCCTTCAGGCTGTTTGAATTAGAACGGGGCTACAGATTAATAAAGTTGTCAGATTTAGTCCCAACTTCGGATAAGATAAACAGTGGATCAATTGTATCAAAATTTAGAACAGTCAAATAATTGTAACTATTATACTACTACAATAATATTTTTATAAAATAAATATGAAATCTTAATATTTTATAATTATATAGGTGTACAACTTTGCTTCCGCCGTTTTTTTTCCGAAATTCGAGGCTTTATTGTAAAAAACTGGTTATATATTTATAATTCAAAGTATTGTTCATCGCTGGTCACTACTTTCTCCCATCTTTCAGGCAGCATACGAATCACGAGTTGAAAAAAACTGGTCATCTTTTGAAGCGATCCACGAATCGATCGAATTTTATACTTTTTCATAAGAATGGAAGTGCTGGTTAGCCAAGCCGGGTGCCATTGATCAAAGCAAGTGATAGTCTGAGGGAGCAAGGTCTGGAGAATATGGCGGGTGGGGTAGGATTTCCCATTTCAACGTTTCTAAGTATGTCTTGACTACTTCGCAACATGGGGTCGAGTATTCTCAGGTTGTAAAATCACTTTATCATGACTCTGGTTGTATTGCGGCCGTTTGTCTTTTAATGCCAGGTTAAAACGCATTAATTGCGTTCG